TCACGTGTGTCTTTCTCCTCATTAACCCCTGAAAATTTCTCACCGTCAGAAGCAGATGCGTGGATCTGTACTGACTATCCTGCCTCTTTCTAGATCTTTTCTGATCTCCACCATAGTCTGGCACCATCAGCAAACAGCACACAGTGATCGCGCCAGTCCCTGGCTCAGACACAGAGCCAGAGAACAGCTGCCGATTCCCCCCAGTCAGTTCCCGATTTAATAATGGCACTTTGAACGTTGGAGTTCAGAATTATTCATCCTAAATTCTAGTGCACGACTCCCTTTTCTTCTACAGCTGAGATCTGACTCATTCCAAGTGCTCAGGTCACCAGAGGACCAGGAATAACGGACATAATATAGTACTGCCTCTTGATCTTAGCAAACCTGCAGAGTTGGTTCAGATTTGATTAGCCAGACAGGACTCCTCTTTCCAAATGAAATCTGGTTGCTCTCCAATTGCTAGTTTTTATTTTGACAGCAATAAAAACAGATCATTTTGTTTGGTCTTTATTTTTAATTGCCGAGGACTCTCATCTTGACCATTTTGTAGTAATTTTTTTCTTGCCCTCTACTCTAAATTATTCAGAGATGTTCAGAATTTTGGCAAGTAGTTCCTTAAATATGTTTTTGTTGTTGTTGATTTCTGCTTTCTCTCAAACGGAAAAAAAAAGGTAGGGAAGAAAAGACCAATGAATGGTACACATTTCAGCTTAATGTTTGAATAATAATGAGTACTGAAAATAGTTAAATATTATACTAAATTTGTGTTTTAGAACTCTATCCTTAAAAATCAAGGTTTGGCTGGGTGCCAGTGGCTCACGCCTGCAATCCTAGCTACTCAGGAGGCTGAGATCTGAGGATCACAGTTCAAAGCCAGCCTGGGCAGGAAAGTCCATGAGACTCTTATCTCCAATAAACCACTAGAAAACTGGAAGTGGCGCTGTGGCTCAAGTGGTAGAGCACTCGCCTTGAGCACAGCACAGGGACAGCGCCCAGGCCCAGAGTTCAAGCCCCATGACCACCACCACCACCAACAACAACAACAAAATCAAGGTTTGAAGCTGGGTGCCTAAGGCTCACAGCTGTAATCCTAAGTACGCAGAAGGCTGAGATGTGAGAATCATGGTTCAAAGCCAGCCTGAGCAGGAAAGCCTATGAGAACTGGAGCTGTGGCTCAAGTGATAGAGCGTTAGCCTTGAGTGAAAAAGGTCAGGGACAGCGCCCAGGTCTTGATTAAAGCTCCAAGTCTGGTACCAAAACAACAACAAAAGGTATGTAGTGTCATCTATCCGAACAAATTCTTAACTAAAGAGATTTTTTTTTAAGCAGACCCAGTTAAAACCAAGACTGGACCCCTTAACATTTATTTCTGTCTCCCCAAACTTTGTCATGTGCTATTTTCTTCATCTTCCCTGTTAACTCCTTTCTTCTCTGAGTACCTCCTGCCATTATTAGCTTGCAGTGGCTTCTGATTTAGAGATATCTAATTAGGAGAATTATAGAATCAAAATATTCTCCTTCCCAGGAGTGTCTGTGGTTTTGAAAAGAGGCTTTTGCAAGATGAAATAGTTCAACCAAAGAGCAAAATCTCAAATGGTTGAGTGTTAATGCTGCCAGTCTATTGTAAGAGTCTTTTTTTTTTTAATTTGGTTGGTCATGGGGCTTGAACTCTGGGCCTGGGCACTATCTCTCAGCTGTTCAGCTCGAGCCAATGCTCTACCACTTGAGCCACAGCACCATTTCCAGTTTTCTGGTAGTTTATTGGATATTAGGGTTTCATGGACTTTCCTGGCCTGGCTGGCTTTGAACCACGATCCTCAGATCTCTCCCTTCCGATTAGATAGGATGACAGGTGTGAGCCACTAGCGCCTGGTATGTAAAAGTACCAAGTCAAGTTCAAGCCCCAGTACCTGCACACACACACACACACACACACACACACACACACACACACACACACACACACATGAATGAATGGAGGGGAAGGAATTTTTGAGTGCCTCCATGATTATACTGAATTTATGTCTACCTCGAAACCTACCAACTCTACAAAACTGAACTGGAGGGTCCACGTTGATAGGAATTATTATCTCCCCCCCTCATGCAAATCCTTTTGTCTTCTGAGTTCATCATCCGCTACGGTTTCTAAAATACGATGTTGTCGCTATTTAGATTTACATCCTAACAAGATGTGAGTTAAGGGCATGTCAGTCCTTCTCGATTGCTCGCATTCGGTCTCCATCCCTGCCTCTGTCTCTCTCTGCCTCTCTTTTCCTGACCACATCTCTCTTCAGTCTACAGTTAGCTGTGCATTTCCCCACCACGCTGATGTGTACTCTCCCCTGCAGTCATTCTCTTGAGAAGACTGGCAAACTGCACTTTGCTATGGCTAAGTGAATCTTAGTACTCTGCGTACTTCAGAGACACTTAGATGCAATCAGAGGCCACTGATGGTAAGATCAAATTAAATAAAGAAGTGCTGCATCTCTTGTGCATCCTCTGCAGATTTAAGCATCATAGTCACGTGCCAATAAGATCTGAACTCAGAACCTGAGAAGAGTCTGAGCATTCCCTTCCTTTTCTCTCCTTCCTGACCTACATTTTGCTATTTCTTCTTGGACATCTTTGCTCACCAGAATGGAACAGTCTCTAGAAAAAGACAATGTAGCGTTCTTTTCCTGTAACGCTGTTCATTCAAATCCTGAGTGGTGCCATGGGGCAGGTGTTGGAGCTCCCACCTGTAATCCTGGCTTCTGGGGAGTCTGAGATTCTTCCGGTCAGGGGTTTGGAACCAAGCCAGAGCCGTAAAAGTTCAGGGGTCAGCTTTCTCAATGAAGAGCAGGCCAGGGAAGTCCTGGACTATTTTCCAACCATAGATGCATCTCATACAAGGTGCTCACCTGGGCAGGAGGAGAGACTTTATGTCAGAACTAACCAGTAGGAAATCACCCAGGAGTTAGAGTGACCAGAGTTCAAGGCCTGGTACTGCAAAACAAGGCCAAGTCATTCACAGCAACAGCAGTGCCTGTGGGTTAATGCCTCCTCCATTCTCTGAGGAAAGCACAGGGAAGTCTTGATGCTGTGTGTGTGTGTGTGTGTGCGCGCGTGTGCATGCACGTGTGTGCGCGCACACGCGCACACAACGTAACTGTCTTTTATTTTGAACAGCTCCATTTACTGTAAAGAGAGTCTGTTAAGCTAGTGGTCCTTTGTAGCTCCTGAGCTATTCTGAATATAGACAGCAGCCACTCCGGAAAAGAATTCCAGAATGTAGAAAGCTAAAAACGCCAATTCCATACTCAAAACAAATTGGGTCAAGCTCTATCTGTCTGTCTGTCTGTCTATCCATCCATTCCATCCATCCATCCATCCATCCATCCATCCATCCATCCATTCCATCCATCCATCCATCCATCCATCCATCCATCCATCCATCCATCTATCTATCCATCTATCTATCTACTTATTTATTTAGCATCAGTCCTGGGCTTGAACTCAGGGCTTTTGCACTCACCAGGCAAATTCTGTAACCAATGGAGACACTTGTCCACCCCATCCCCTCACAGTTCCATCTTTTTAATTGTATATCTCATTTCCAACTTGGCGGCCACCTAATCCTCTAAAAATAAATACTATCTGCTGCTTTGTTTCCTTATTCCCTTACCTATTGATTGACAATTAAAAATGCATTTTTTCTATTAAATCGTGTACAGAGTTTGAGGAAAAGAATGTAGGAGTTTCGTGGACTCAAGAAAATTGTTTAACCTAATTGGTACCGTACGTTCTAGTACTGTCAGCGGTTTTGTAAGGTTGAAATCACAAACATTTCAATAGCCTGTTGGTGCTTTGCAAAAACATTGTGTTACCTGTAATGCAATCATCTTACATAGTTGATGATTTTCTGTGAATGTTTTATTGTGAACATTTTATTGTGTGCATATGATTCACAAGTAGATGTTGTGGTTATGGTCCTTGGAAAATTTGGAGGATATTTCTAAAGAAACTTAAGCAAATATCACAAGATCCAATAGATGTTTTTGGTTCACTTGTTTGTTTTTTAAAGAAATTCAGGGCCTGGGTTTTGTCCCTGAGCTTTTGTGCTCAAGGCTAGCTCTCTACCATTTGAGCCACAGCTCTGCTTCTGGGCTTTTTGGTACTTAACTGGAGATCAGAGTCTCACAGACTTTCCTGCCGAGGCTGGCTTTGAACCATGATCCTCAGAATTCAGCGTCTTGAGTAGCCAGGATTATAGGCCTGAGTCCCTGGCATTGGGCCTATAGTTTAGTTTGTGAGTTCAGATCACATACCACCTGTGTTCCAATGATTGGCTGTCTTTGAATATACAATCTGGGTACGTGCTTTATCTCTCATAATCCGCCAACTGACTATTTAGGTTTAGCAAATGCACGCCAAATTGTGGTCCAAGTAGCAGGCACTCACCGTGTGGATGTACAGAGAGAAGTACAATCAATTAGCAATGCCTATTTACATGACTTCATTACCTGCACGTGAGAAATGCAAATGGCATTTACAGTAATGGTAACCAGAGTGCGCCAGTGTGAATTCTGTTTCTCATCTGGTCACCTGACTACTGGGAGACGTACCCAAGGACCCTTGCCATATTCATCTGTCTAGCTACAAATCAAACAGCCTTCCAGACACAAAGCAGGTCGCTCCTGTGAACATCCTGTGTCTCTTTAGTGACTTGGGATCCTCAGCACATCTTCTTTTAGGCGTATCAAACTCAAATGCCAAGATTTGCAGGGGCTTCTGAGAATCAGAGTTCCTGCAAAAAAAGAAAAAAAAGAAACAAAACTCTTGCTCTTGATTTCCTTACTGTAGTTATCTCAGTGTAATGTGCTGAACAGGCCAAGGTGAATCTGTTAGCCTCGCTCCTTCCTTCCAGAAGCTCACCTGTGAGAGACGCCCGGGGGGGGATGAAATGTCTTTGACTGCTTACCGCTTCCAGGTTCTCATTTTACGTTTCTCTTCTTTGAAAGGAGAAAACCACGCTGGAGAGCCTCACCCAGCAGCTGGCAGCCAAACAGAGCGAAGAAGGGAAATTTAGCCATACAATCATGGATTTCAATATGAGCGGAGATTCCGATGGTTCGTTGGCGATTCCTTGTACCTCTGTGGTTATCACGTTGGGTGCGGGGGGTAGAGTGCCCTGAAAGCTACATCAGGTACACGGCTTGGTCACGCGATGCCCGATCATTACAGTGGGAGCAGTTCCTGTCCACCTTCATTAATTCCTCTCCCAAACGGGGACATACTGTGCAGATAAGCCGATGGACCCCCGAGGGCTGGGTATCATTTTTTATTTCTTTTTCATTGTTTATGCAAAGCCATTAGGTTCTGAGTGCGAAAGCTACAGATTAGATTCAAGAGGATGTCATTCAAAAACAAAGGCTTTCAGTCCTCTCTGCATGGCCTTCCTGCTTGTACCCTAGACCAGCTGTTCAGAAAGGGGGGAGTCTACGGGCTCATTTCTCAGTTTCCCTGACTTAGAGGACAAATTCCATGTCCTCTCTCCTCCGTCAGAGACACACACACGCTGCCCATAACCCGGCGGGGCTTCGGCAGAATCAAGCACAGTAGCTCAGGCCATGTGCCGTCTTTGCATCTTGCAAACCCACAGCCAATCGATCACCGCTGTGCTTATCATAGAACAGCAGAGGAGCAATACAAAGACAGCACTCCTGCCTGGGAAATCTTTCTCTGGTATCGGGGGTGTCCATGTATTTCACATTCCTTTAGAGGCCTACCCCTCAACTTTGCTCCGGTTAAAAAAGCAAAGCTCCTGGTAGCTAGACTGCATCCAGACACGGAAGCCCCTCCAGCTACACCACCTTGGCTATCCAGTGGCTTGGGGGATGTGCACCATCCTGGGGCACCCATGCTTTTCCCTGTCAGTGTCCTGAGTGCCCACACTGAACTTGATTCAAAAGGATCGCTAAAAACAATCTGCTTTTGTTTGCCATCTGATACGTGCGTGTTTCCTTTCCATTCACCAGGCTAGAAGCAACCTGGCCTACATACATAGAAAAGCGCTTGTTCAGATTAGAGGAAGCCACAAATGGGCCTTTTAGGGTCCTGCTGGCACTACAAGGTGTAGGAAGAAGGAAAAGCAGACCTGCGGCTGGATCATCCGCTAGTTACAAACCCATTTTAGAAAGCTGGTGCCATCGATGCACACTAATGCTTGTCAATAAGAGAGACAATGATGTGGTAATGGCACATTCCGTAAACGCTGACATGTGTGAGCATGGTAAAATACACGTACCCCAGCGGGGTCAGCGTTCCAACGCCCCAGAGCGTGTGGCTGGCGTTTGTTAAATGTAACCATTTTGGATGTAAATTAATTCCTGCCCTTTGTCAGACTAAAGGATGTGTATTATGACTGAGAGACGGTGAGAACTAGATAGAATGCCCGGGCTGGCTTTGAACCGTGATCCTCAGATCACAGCCTCCCGACTAGCTAGGAGGGCAGGCGTGAGCCAGCAGCGCCCAGCGAAAGGACAGTAAGATCCTTAAGGAAGCCATAGTAACAATGATTCATTGTGCTTTCCCTTATAATTGTCATAGACTTATTTTTTTTGGGGGGGGGGGAAGGACTACCCTGATTGAAACAATATGCTTCATGCATATATTAGCAGGTTACTTCAAAGAGGAGCTAATCACATTAAAGTACTCATACTGTAGTTCCACAGTCATAATTCTATCACATTTTTCTTTAGGTTCTTTATGTTGTTTATGCTCTGACCGTCACTAAGTAGAAAAGACATATACTCACCTTAATTAATCCATTCTGCCACAAGGATGAACATTTCACAGTTCAGTTAATTTATTTACATTTTTTACATTTTTGCATGCCTGTTTATCTACTAGTATCTTTTGAAATTGCATCAAAAATCACGTATATATATATATCTATATATATATCTATATATTTGATTTCAAGAACTCACAAGCACATATATTATACCTATAATATCAAACATATCCTATACATCGTATGTATGTTTCTTGTGAGCTCTTGAAATGAAATGGAAAAAAATGGAACAAAAGGAAAAACTTTTAAAATTAGAAATACAAATATAACATTTACCACCACAAGGCTGATCAAGGGGGAAAAAAAAAAAACCTTCAAAAACAAGCATCTGTCTTAAGAACTGGAAGTCCCAAGCTCAGAACAACTTGTTGTTTTCAAATATTTTAATAGGCCAAAAGAAAAATTAAGAAAGAACAGGCAAGGGAGAGAAGGGAGAGAGCTGGTGTGAGCTGTGAGCATTCCTGCTGACTGACAGGCCATGTCTGTTTTCTCCCATTGCGTAGGGAGTGCGGGAGTCTCAGAGTCAAGAATTTACCGGGAGTCGAGGGGTCGTGGCAGCAACGAACCCCACATCAAGCGTCCCATGAATGCCTTCATGGTGTGGGCAAAAGATGAGCGCAGGAAGATCCTGCAGGCCTTTCCTGACATGCACAACTCCAACATCAGCAAGATCCTAGGTAAGAAGCCACGACGGGCGATGGGGGGGCGGCTCTCTGCAGCCGGGGACACAGGCAGCTCGCCCCCTCTGCCGACCCCCCTCCACTGCCCCCCACCTAACCACCACCACGGACCCTGCTGGTGGGGAAAGTACCCCAGTGCACCAAGAACCTGGCCTCACTTCCATAGCCAGCTAGGCTGGCTGATCATCACAGCCTTCCTGCCCCCCTCTGACGTTAGTGCCGGTGCTGGGCTCTTGAACACAGGGCCTGGGTGCTGTCCCTTTTCTTTTTTCTTTTCTTTTCTCCCAGATCTGGCACTGTACCACTCAAGCCACCTCTCCACGTTCAGTATTCTCTCTCCTTTTTAAAATCTACAAATATTTTCAGTGATGACTGAGGAGAAATTAGTTGCTTTTGGATGAACCACCCGGTATTTTGGTTGGCTGTCTCTGTTCTTTCTCTCTGTGGACTCTGGAGGTTGCTGCTGCTCTTCTAGTACTCCTGGCGCTCTTTCCATCCCGTATGCCACAAGATGGAGGGGTTTGTGTGGGTTCATCATAGGTGTGCGTACAGAGGGGTGTACACCCCCACTATCATTAGAAGTCAGTTTAGAGCCTGAGCATAAGGTGTAGAGCATATTTTAATGTACACACTGGTCATCCTTCATCATTTTAATAATGAGCTGAACCAGAAAACAAATACAGACCCTCAAGCACGCAGAAAAGGCGGGTGGGGAGCAAGGGCCTGGTTATCAGGGATTTGTTACGTAGTCAGTCTCCATCCCAGGAGAAAGGAACAAAGTTTCCATGGACCTCTTCATCTCCACCACCATCACCATCATCCTCTTCATCTTCACAATGCAGGGTGGGCAGATACTGGGTGCCCGAGGCAGATTTTCGTGGTTTGTCCTCCAAGAGCAAATGGATAAAAGTAGAATAGAAAGTGTTATCTAGGAAAACTGAGCAGACATGTTGGGGTGGGAAGAGATGGAGGAGAACTGTGGAAGGGGTAACATGGATGAAGACGTGCTGTGCTCACCCTGCCATGTTGAATTGAAACCCCTGTGTAAAACAGCTTAAAGATAATTTAGGAAATAAATTAATAAAGGATAGCTTTCATAAATAAGCAACAAATTATATTGAAGTTATTAAAGCTTTAGGAAAATGGCATCTCTTTCTGAATTAAGAAATAGACCATCTAAAAGTGCTTCCAGACACAGTAATACATTTTTTTAAATTTGTTCTTGTGTTTGTAAATGTGATCAAAACAAATCCATGAGCCACTGAAACTTGTATTCCAATAGTCTCCTTTGAAATGACCTTGAGAGCAGTGTACGAAGATTTTCTCCAACAATAAGATAATGTGGTGCTTTAGGCCTACTGAGAAACCGTGAACATCTATGTTGTAAAATATGTACGTAGGCAAAGTTGAAAATCCGGCTGATAGGAGATGCATACTTTTGCAATTTTGCCTTCTCTGATTGCTTTCTGTGTAACTGTATTTCCTCTTCCTCATAAAAAAGTCCACAAGATTCTTATCTCCAATTAACCCCCAAATAGCCAGAAGTGGAAAGGTGCTAGCCTTGTGCAAAAAAAAAAAAAAAAAAGTTCACGGACAGCAACCAGAGCCTGACTTCAGGCCCCAGTACCAGCATTTAAATATATATATATATAATATATTATATATATAATATATATATACACACATATATACCTTGTTTTGTTTGGAAAACTTCTAGAAAAGCTTAGACTATTTTGTGTAAGCTTTTTGTATGTGTTATGAAGTGATTCCTGGATCTGGTGAAATCTAAAACTACCGTGATTTCCCAAAGCAGCCGTCTTTCTATTAGTTGAAGACACAGTTTATTCAGACAAAACTGGTAGTCAACTTCTGACACTTTACCCGAAAGTCCCCTCAAAGAAGTGCCAGCCTGGAGGGTGTGAGATGATACGTTCAGAAAGGAGGCAAACAGGCGGCCGATCTGAAGGAGAGACTAGAAGAATGAGTGTGTGAGAGTGGGTCGCTGAGACTTCAGGAGAGAAAAGACTGCTTGGTTCCATCCTCGTGATTCAAGATAGAGCGTTTATGTTTGGCAAAAAAAAAAAAAATTAAACACTTGGTATGGGGGTTGGGACCCTAAGAGTCAGTCCTAGTTTTAAAAGAAATAAGCGATCTTCAAATATCCACGAGATCATTCTAAATGGGCCACTTCAGAGGAAAGCACAAAGCAAGCGCGGGGTGTTTCCTCCTTCCTGATAGTTTTGGATAAGAACCTTCGCCTGCATGCTGCTAATTCATTCTGCTTAAAACAGGCGCCTGAGCCGCGCTGACATTTTACACAGTCTCTGGGGATCCGAGTTGACATTTTATAATACCCTAAAATCTGGTTTTAATAAGCCATTCTGCTGAAATTGTTAACATAAAGAATCACCTTTTACTGTTTGGCACGAGATCAGGGAACGGGGTAACATCTTTTTCTGATTAGCTGTACAGTAGTCGGTGTAAAACGTGCAAATTCATTACCTACCCCACGGAGATGACAGCGTCAGCCTGCTCAGGCTCCCCACTCCGACCCCCCCTGGCTTAGAAGGGAAGAGAGAGGAGAGTACTTTTCCTTATTTTGAGCATCAGAAAAGGAATGAGTTTTTTCCCCCTTTGGTGAACCAGGAGGCATGTCCAGCTGTCCTCCACTCTTTGTTTTCTTGCCATTTAAATAGTAGCCTTCTTTCTTCTTTTTTGTCAAACCTGGGACTTGAACTCAGGGCCTGGATGCTGCCTCTGACTTCTTTCGCTCAAGGCTGGTGCTTTACCACTTTGAGCCACAGCACCATTTCTGGTTTTCTAGTGGTTCATGGGAGATCAGAGTCGGCAGACTTTCCTGCGTGGGCTGGCTTTGAACCACAATCCTCAGATCTCGGCCTCCTTGGTAACTAGGATAACAGGCGTGAGCCACCGGTGCCCGGCTCGAATGGCAGCCTCTGGAAAGAACTAGGGATGCGCTCCACTTTGGATGTAGCCAAAAAAACAAATCTCCCAGCATTCCTAAGTTGTGTGTATTTGGGCGAATTTTACTGCAGCTGTAGCCGAAAGCTGTCAGAACTTCAAAGCCATCCAAACCCCAAATGAACCTGTCAATCACTTATCCTAATTCTCAGTCATCTTTAGAAAAGAAAATGAAGATGTGCTACCCACCTGAAGCCCTCTTCTGGGATATCATAGAATGGAGGAGTTAGCCATTTTGTCCCCATCAGCTCTTAGGCTACCTTATTTCTAAGCTGGAAAATTTAGAAGGCCCAGCTTGGTGGTACATACTTGTAGTCACAGAACTAGAGAGGCTGAGGCTACAGGATTGAGAGTTTGAGGCCAACCTGGACCTACACAGTGAGATCTGGTCTCAAAACGAACACACACACACACACACACACGTATTTTATGACTCCATTTTAAAACACAGGAGAGGACTCATTTTAGTACTCTGTGATACTCTGAGAGAAGTGTATTATCAAGCCAGGCACTATAGAGGCTCACGCCTATAATCCTAACCACTCAGGAGACTGAGACCTGAAGATCATGGTGATCTTCATGCCAGCCCAGGCAGGAAAGTCTTATCTCCTACAAAACACCAGAAAACTGGGCTGGGCAGGTGGCTCAGTGGTAGAGTGCTCACCTCACATGCATGAGGCCCTGGGTTCGATTCCTCAGCACCACATACACAGAAAAAGCCAGAAGTGGTGCTGTGGCTCAAATGGTAGAGCGCTAGCCTTGAGCTGAAGAGATGAGGGACAGTGCCCAGGCCCAGAGTTCAAGCCCCACGACCACCACCAACAACAATAAAACCACCAGAAAACTATGAATGGAGCTATGGCTCAAAGTGGTAGAGCGCCAGCCTTGAGCAAAAGAAGCTCAAGGACAGCGCCCAGGACCTGAGTTCAAGCTCCAGTTTTTAAAAAAGAAAAAAGAAAGCAAGAAACCTTGATAGAGTTGGAAAACAACTTAAAAACATATATATATATATATATATATATATATATATGTGTGTGTGTGTGTGTATATTATATATGTATAATATGTACCATACCCTAAGTTGTGGTATTATATATATATAATATATATGATACATCAGATATATGACAATATATTTTGTCATATATATAGCCATAACCTATGTTTCTGGAATAAATAGTATAGAATCATTTAGCTAAACCGAGGAAACATGTATGTTTCCTCCTATATATATATAATACATATGACATATGTAGATATTATATACTATCACTATATTACACCGTTTCCTTGTGTTACCTGCCTGTGGCTTTTGCTCAGCAGAGTCTTGGATCAGCTGTAAGCTCCTCCAACCCCTCCCCACACCGTCCCTTGTAGCATGCTGTCTTCTTTCTGACCCTCCTGAGGAGACATTTTTGTGGATTTACAGAAGTTTGAGTTTTTACCTTTTTTGGGGGGGTGTGTGCTGGTACTGGGGCTTGAACTCGGGGCCTTTCGTTCTACCTTGCCATTTTCACTCAAGGCTGGTGCTCTACCACTCAAATCCCTTCCTCACCCCTGGCTTTTCTGCTGGCTCATTAAGAGATTCTGGCTTCTTGGATTTGTCTGCCGGGGCTGGCTTCAAATTGGGATCCTCAGATCTCAGCCTCCCGAGCAGCTAGGATGACAAGTCAGCTGCCAGTGCCTGGCCTTGGGCTGGCCTCCGTGTTACACATGGCTTGCTTTCCTGCGCCTCTCACAGACATAATTAATCGATCCTGCAATGAACTATCCAATGTGTGTTTCCCGGCCCAGTCTACACCCAAGGAGACAGGAGCCGCGACTCTCCCCTTTGCTTCTGTATATCCGATCACCGATGCAGTGTTATGCATCTAGTAGGACAATACAGCACTTAGTAGGACATACAGAAACGGTTCTTGTATCCCAACTCAGGTCACTTCAGTGTCCTTTTCCTTAGGGAAACTGAGTCTTTGAGAACTTCCAGACAGTTAGTTAGCTTTAGGGAAAAAGCTTTA